TGTTGTTTTATAAAACTTTGTTTGTGGTAATTATTTGTAATAATTGTTGTTGTAAATTGTATTGTTGTATATATATATATTAAAATGTATTTGTTTGAAAAACGAAGACAGTGTGTGTCAATCTTGTTGGCAAATAGCGTAAATTAACTAAAATATCGGCTTTGGACTATTTTAAATTTGCAATATGTAACAGCCTACATGTGTGTTCGCATAAAATGAACATGATAAGACTTCCATTTTGTATAAGGAAGGTTTCAAAAATTGAAAAGCAATTGTAATTAAAAATAATAAGTCTTACATTTTTACGTCATTTGGTTAGCTATAATTGTAGTAATTACTTATGAGACATATTGCTGATGATCTGCTGGTAACTTTCAATTAATAACATACATAAACTGAAAAATCATGTGTAATGTCTTTTCAGCAAAATTATACTTCTGACACAAGTGATGTAGTTTCTGTCTTTTCAAATATTTACTACAAATGAAGAGCTCAGGCAACAATGCATAATAGTGAAAGCATTTTATTGTTTTGACTAAAACTTCTACAAAACAGTTCTTTTTTTAATGCTTGGAGATGGCTTGAATGGGTAATGAAGAAAAACTTTAATATAAGTTTAACATAACAGCAAATGTACAATGTTTTGACAAGGTTTTGTCATCATCAGGTACCAAATTCACCTGGCAACCAAATATGACTAACTATATAAGATTTATGAACTAACTCATAAGGAACCAAAATTACTACTAATTGAAACTTGTTTGTGTGCCTTTAAACACAAAGCTGTACAATGGGTGCTCTGTGCCACCACAGGTACTGAGCCCAAATTTGACTGATATAAAACAAAAAGAGCTTAATGCTGAGCTACTGGAAACCTCTACTTGGAATGATTCATGAATTTGGCTTCTACAAAATACCTGGGGGTACTAAAGTTAAAATTACTGTTTGATTTGTTTTCCTTTTTTTATACCACACTGATTCTTTTGTTTTAAAAATTTTCTTAAAACATTCAATATGATTTTATTTGTTATAATAAGCTAGAGGGAAATTACCTAGAAATGTCTATTCAACAACAAACCTGGTTGTTAAAGAATTAAAATAACTAATCACTAGGAAAAGTACACTCACCTCAGTTTTCTTAGTTTCAATATTATTGTTATAACACCTTAGTAATAAATTTTAGGATATAAAGTGTTGAAAATAAAAAGTAGTTTTTACATGTTTATCAAAACATATGAGAAATATTATTACAAAAATTATTATATATCAATACAAATGCAAATTAAAATACCAAAGCTTAAAAAAACTATTTAAAGTAGGAAAATAGCAAAAAGAATGCACTACATCAGTTAAGCTCAGTTAAAACTTTCTTGGAATTTTTCAAAGTCTATGTCCTGAAAGCATTTAGTAATTGTTAATATAAAAAACAAAAATCTTACCTCATCATGGGATACAACATGGCCATCAATGTTCTTTGTTTTATACATGCTGGAAAAAAGTTTATGATGTCTAGCCTTCATTTCTCGAGGATGAGGAGTGTCATGCCTTATAAACTGGCCCTAATAATGCAAAAATGAATAAGTAAAAAAAGAAAGAAAGAAAAACACCTTATGTTTTAAAATTTTTCTTTAACAAACTAAAATGTGACAGCCAATATTCTTAGTTTCTTTCATCCAGACTGTTATTTAATAACAATGAAAGTTGTTGTTGTTGAATTTTTAGCCCAAAGTAACACAATTCACTCTGTTCACCACAGTGAATCGAACCCTGGATTTGAGAATTGTAAGTCCATACATTTATCATTGATACATGGGGATACTAATGTAAGTACTAAACAAATTCCTTCAACTATATGAAGAAAAATGTATTTGGTTACTATCTATTTTATATACATTTTGCAATGCTATGTAGATTTTCAGTGCTTAGATTTTCTATATTTTGCACTAGTGTTTATTGAGAACACTTTGCTAAAATAGAGTTCTTTTGTAAAGTCATGTTAACTGTAGAATGATACATTGAACTAAGAATGCTTAATAAATGAACGAGTTATGTCAGATAATTGTTAATGTTATTAAGCAGTTGTAACTTTCTTTAGTAGCTGGATTTTTTTTTTTTATTAGAAGAAGATCACAATGTGGAATAAGTTGACCATCAAAGTTTTTTGTTTCAGTATTTTAATGTATAGCTTGTGCAATATATTTATAATTATTTTTCCATACACTCTTTCTTACTGGAGTAATTAAGCCTCTCAACACGGGCTCGGTCAATTTGACCAACCACGTGACCTTTTTGTGTTCATTTAAAGTCTTTGTAGATTTAATACTTCTAACTTTCAATATAGTGTGTATATCTTCACAAAATTTGTCAGTCTTTCAGTTAACATTATAAATCTTTCACATACAAAAAAAATCATATCTTCTTTAGTGAAGTATTTTTAATAAACTAAAATAATGATTTGTCCATTAATATATTGAGTATCTGTTTTGAATAGACTGTGAGCAAAGTTATTTTCATGTTAAGATGAAAAATACTTTTCTTCATCTTCAAAATCTCAAATTTCCTTTGTGTAATTCCTAAAACCTCCTAAATACATTTCAAAAGTTTTTTCAGCAAAACTTTATATTTTATCTGTTATTATCTCTATACAGGATTAGTCAACTTGGCTGACTTTCTAACCACCAAAACAAAATTCTAAATTACCCTTTTTTATTTTGTGAATGACTTCAAATTGTAACATGAAACTACATTTGTTTATCCTAAGTAGCTTTAAACTTGTACCACTATACACCTATTTATAAATAAATTTTATTAATTTATTGCCCTTTGAACAGTATCTAACTACTATTCATGCCATTATAAGTTGTAAATCACTCGAGAAGTGTGCAGCTCACATTACGCAATCAAATTACATTACCCCTAAGCTATTATGAGCTGCTCTAGTGCATGCCTCATGAAAACTTGTATTATTATTATTTATTTTACCTAATTTAATCTTAACTAACCTAAAATCATTCCTAATTTTACATTTTAATTATTTTATAATAAAAATTAAGAATAAACATGAAAAACAAGAAATAAAGTACTTACTTTTTCTTTCTCTTGATTGTCAATGACCCTACTTTTTTAATACTAATGGTAGTAGTGCACTAAATAATTTTTACTTAAATAAATAATAAACCAAATAACATAGACTAATAACAAGCAAAAAGTAGGCAATTTCCCCTAATTCTCAAAATTTTTCTGGCTTCCTAACTATGCCACAAGAGCTGTTACAAATTCATCCAAACTAGTTGTTAACATTCCCATGGGAACAAATCTTGTACTCTCAGTGAAACTGACAATATTCTGTTTAGAATACAACGTTATACAATACGTCATTTGACAGATGAAAACCTTGACTTTCTATTGGTTATAGGTAATATATATAATTAAACATAAGAAAGAACTATTAAAAAATTCTGAAAGAGAGGATGTGACAGGTGGGTGTGGCAGGAGAGATCTGATTTTCTACTTGATAGCTCTGTAACCAAATGAAATTGAAGGCCATAAAAATTATGGCTTGTCTGAGCAATGACAATTTTATAGGAGTAATTTACATTTAATTTAGTACTTCTTGAATGGGTGGTGTATAAAATAGAGAACAGAATATACCTAGAGAAAATGTGTCACGTATGTCACACTAGGGGAGATTCAGGATTTTTTTAAATATTGCCTTATAGAATTAAGAACTTAAAACTTATATGTTATAAAAATATGAATTTATTAGCTAAGATTTTATGCTTTATTAATGCGTATACCACAAACAAAAAGTAGTTTTATAACATTTTGAATGTTAGACACTAAAACTTTGTGTCGTGCACAGTAAAGGATACCTGTGGTGATAGGATTAACATGGTTGTAAAAGGTATGGTTATGTAGTCATATGATTTGGTATTTTTGATCTTATCAGATTTGTTAAAATGCAGAGTCAACCCAATGCCATGGATCATAGCATATATGCAATATAATTGTCTAGTGGGCCATTTACAACTGTTCTTTGTCATTCCATGTGTTATTTCAATAACAAAAATTGCATTGCATTTGTTTTTAAGCAAAAGACACTGAATACAATGCACTGTTGGGAAAAATTTTTGGTTTTGATGTAATGGATGCATCCAGCACATTAGAGCAATCAGCTTTGCTAAGTAGCTACTGGGATTTTTTTTCTTCTTGATGCCTCTGTTCCTTGTGATTTTATTTCCGCTACAGAAGTACTTTTTGACAGATGTAATTTCTATAAATGTCAAAGGGGAGGTATTCAATTCACTTTATTGTACATTGTACAATAAAATCATGGATGTGTATATTATAGACATGATAAAAAAAAGGTAGAGACCTATCCAAGAAGACTCACAACAGTAATTGCTTCCAAAAATGCTTCCACCATGTTCTGACTTAGGGGGGCTGAATACTTATGTAATCAGCAAATTTCAATTTATATATTTTCTTTGCAGATTTTGCTGATATTCAACCTCCTTCATACATATCAATGTTAAGTATGATCATTAGAGTTTTGAATAAAAACAAGTTCATTGAAAAACATTTTTCACATTATTTGTATTTCATCAAAATGTGACATTATTTGTAGGTGTTGAATACTTTTGCAAGGCATTGTATGCAGCTCTGCACAATGGAATGGTGTAATTTTAGCCCATTCTTCCTTGCAAAATTGCTACAATTCTGACAAATTAGTTGGGGATTGTTGATGGACTGCAATTTCCAAGTCTTGCCATAAATTTTCTATTGGATTCAAGTCAGGACTTTGACTGGGCCACTTCAGGATATTCACTTTCTTCTTTTGAAACAACTCGAGTGTGGCTTTGGCCCTGTGGTTTGGGTCATTGTCCTGCTGAAAGTTATAATTTTCCTAAACTGAAAATGTATTTGCAAACATACTTACCTCTGCTGACACTAATAGCTATTTCTTGAACTTCATCTTTGCTATCTAACGTTGTGTTCGCTTGCTACAGTCTTTATATACCCCACTCGACTGCCCTCGGCAATATCTAATTACCAAAACTTTATGCCAGCCCTCACACGCCCTCTATGCAGGTACTATATATAAGCACTGTATGCAGACAATAAAATCATTTTATCAAGACTTACCACATTCCAGTCACTAACACCGGCTCTTCACGGGGAGGAAGAGTGTCAGTGGAGGTAAGTATGTTTGGAAATACATTTTCAGTTTAGGAAAATGATAACTTCCAAAACATACATACCTCCACTGACACTAATAACTAGAATCCCGCATTGAGAAGGTGGAGGGGCCGGTGAGGACAGAGATCATACAGAAAGCATCTGCAGAGAACAAATATGTACCACAAGAAGTGGTATCAAAGTGGGGAACACAGCATTACATCCAAAACAAATATGCTCTTCATCCAGAACTACAGAAAATTGAATAGGGTCGAATATAATACAAGTATGATGGTCCAGTCCTGACCAAACAAACGAAGTTCCACAACTCGGGTTGGATTTAAGGGATCATGGTACCCATATCCCACGTTGGTGGCCAGGGCAGTTGAACCGCAAATATAAATGTCTTTGTGATAGGATCCCTACCATTAACCATGGAATGATGCATTTCGAACCACCGGACTTATGAAAGAAAGAAAGCAACACTAAAGTGGACAATCCTTCTGATCAACCTGAAGAAGTCCCAAAGGCAACATCCCAGCTCGGGATTGATGGGATCATATGCCATACTCCACCAAAGTCCAAAAATCATCCAGTCTGGATTTACAAACAGTTTTCTTTACTCCCCCCACCAAGTGGGCAAGGAGAATTCCACTTACCCATGGAATTAAGGAGAGGATGTGGAACACTGTCCCACAAAGGACCAAAGATGGGACCTCGCCACAGTCGGATTTATGAGAGATAATGGACCCCCTGCATGAACAACATAAGACCTGACAGTGTTCATAAGAGGGTCCAAGCACCCCCCTCTAGATAGCTAAGCATCAAATCTGGACTGGGTTTACGAGTAGGCTCCTACTGTCATCTGGGAAAAAACTTTCAGGGATCCAGGTAGTAGGGTTCCCAACTTCACCCTCTTTTCCGAGAGTGGAGAAAAACTCAACATTCTGAAGGTAAATCCTCTGTCCACCACCCCAGTGACAGAGAACTGGGTGTGGTAAGGACTCCAGAGTTAGTAGAAGTAAGGGGGGAACATAAGTGTTGGGGAGTCCTGAGGAACAGGCCTCCAGAGACAGTGCAACAGGTGAACCATGTTCCCTAATTTTTAAAAGCAAACTGATCTCGACTGATTCAGCTCTAAAATCAGCAGTGACTGGCAAAATCCCCTTTAGCTTTACTCATGATAGTCCAGGAACCAATATAAAGGTTGCTAGTGCAGAATTTAAATACAAGCATACTCGACTGGGCAACACTTGCCACTGAGTGGGATCCAAAAGAAATCAATAGGGACCCTAGAAGAGAAAAGAACAATAACTGTAAGTCAAATAACAGGTTACTCACCACCCTGTTAAAATCTAGTAGAGGTAGTCAACACAGCCAC